AAACATGTCCACACGGAAACATCTTCTGTCCCCCACCTCATGCCAACCCACTGCTCTTCCAGTGTTACTCTAACACCATAAATGGTGTCGCCATCCTATCCCACTCAGTTATGTATGCCAGAAACTTCTGAATCATCCTTGATACCTCCCCCTCCATCAACTATATCTAAATAATCACCACTTGCTTACTGATTTTGACTGTGAACTCAACCTCTCTCTCTTTGCCATTGACTTCTCAACATCACTGCACCATCCCTGGGTGACTGCAAAAGCCTTTGCACCATTTGCCCACACTCCATGCTCCCCCTCCTCAGGGTGGCCATGTATGTGCAAAGTGACATCTGAGGGGGCTGAAGCCCTTGGCCTGGCTTGGCTGGGACAAAGCAGTGCATCTTTTCTAATTGATCCCCCCAGAAGGGAAGCCTCTTTCTAGTTTGTACGAAGGCACCATAGATGCAAACAGAGCCTACTCCTGCAAACCATTCTCCACACAACAGCGACAACGATCATTTTAAAAACCCAAACCTAATCAATCATCTCATCTCCCCTCTAAAACCCATTACCTTTGGGGAAAATTCAAAAGAATCAACAAAAACCTCCTTCAACTAAGAAGCCATTATAGCAAGGTTGCAGGATACATGGTGAATGTGTGAAAGTTAATCATCTTCCTATACACCAGCAGAAACGGGTGGAATTTTAAATTAAAAATGCATTACCATTTATATTAGCACCACCAAAAATAAAATACTTAGGTATAAATCTAGTGAAATATATGAACTCAAAATGGATTGTAGACCTAAATGTAAAATGCAAACTATAGCATTCCTATAAGATAACTCAGGAGAAAATCTAGATGGCCTTGGGTATGCTGATGACTTTTTAGATACAACATCAAAAGCACGATCCGTGAAAGAAATAATTGATAAGCTGGACTTCATTAAAATTTAAAACTTCTGCTCTGTGAAAGACACTGTCAAGAGAATGAGAAGACAAGACACAGACCAGGAGAAAATATTTGCAAAAGACATAATGGATAAAGGACTGTTATCTAATATATACAAAGAACTCAAAATCAATAAGAAAGTAAAGAACACATTTAAAAAGTGGGCAGAAGACCTGAACAGACACCTTGTGAAAGATTATGTACAGATGGCAAATAATCGTATGAAAAGATGCTCCACATCACGTGTCATCATGGAAACGCAAATTGAAACAACAATGAAATGAGTCCCCACTACCCTTCTGTTACAGTCTCAAGTCCTGAAAAAGACCAGGGGCCTCATCCCCAGCCACATTCCTGCCCTGGTCTCAACCCTTTCAGCCTGGAACTGTAGCCCCTAATGCACTTGACTGTGTCCTCCTCGCTTTCCAGGCCTCAATTTAAAGACCACTTTCTGGGGAGACCTACCCTGAGTAATCCCCTTCCCAATTTGCATACATTATTTTATACATTAATTATTCTAATGAGACACAGAATCTTTGCCTTCTAGGCAGGTTAATCAGAAAGTAAAGTAAAACCTCTTTACAACCTCTTATTAAGAACAGATCGATAATCCCCCAAAAATTTGGTCATTTTAACAGAGAGAACACCAAATTCTGGTTTTGTATCAGTATAATATTTGATACTAAAACTTAGAAGAAATTCTTATAAATGAAGCCGTCAAACCTTAGCCAGCTTTGACAACGGCAAACAAAATTCCCTCTCTGAGAATCTTCTAGAACTTTCTATTTCCCTTCTGGTTTCTCCTACACTTTTCATTTTCTCATCCTGCAACAACCAGTCATTTTACTTTAGGATAAAACTATTCCACCTTTCTTAAAAAAATGCATCCTACATTATGGCATGCAAACTTCCTTTCTGGCATTATTTCTCCAGGTGGAATGTCACCCACTGTTTGGGCTGAATTGTGTTCTTCTAAAATTCGTATACTCAAGTAAAATTCGCCTTATCTCTCTTATCTATAGAATGGATATTGGTTTGTTTGCATTGACACTGGTCTAAGAATTAAATTGACATGAGAAAGAAAAACAGGAGAAAATCAAACAAAGTTTAATAAAATGTAAACATGGGAGAAACCCAGGAAAACTTAGTATCTCACCAAAATGGCCAAAGCCACCACCTTAAATACCAACTTCAGCTAAAGACAAAGGAGAATGTTGGGGGTAGTAGTTTGCTACCTCTAGGGGGAGGAAAGCAATTTACATGGAGATGGGAAAGCAAATGTTTGATAAACAGATATTTGCTGGGCCATCTATAGACATTGTGACCTGGCGAGAGAGAACTTTGATAAGAATGGGCTTAGCAAGGATCCTCCCAGTCTATTACACCCAGAGTCATCTACGGTGATGGCCTGTCCTGGGGACAGGACTTCTATCTTAAATTCTTTTAGGCAGTTAGGGGGAAGTCTTTTATTCTTAAAAATAATCAAGCCGAAGAGAGACATTTTGGGGTGGGAGACACAATTCTGATCCTCCACATGTGTGTGCTCGAAGTTAGATTTTTATTCACATTTATACACTCTTGTGTTTTAAACGGAAAATGCAACACAAGTTGGAATTGCAATTTTTTCTAGAGCCTTGGGACCAGCCAGAGATCTAAAGTTAAAATAAGTCATATACTTGTTCTTTTTTCAAAGATAAGGTCACAGCTGACAGGGCCAGCAGGGGACATTTCCTGAAAAGATATAGGGACCTACTTGACACCATTTATCTATCTGTTGCCATATAAAAAGTACTGTATAAAAAGGCAAGCTGGGATGAGATGGGAGAAGAATTGCCCACTTCCCCCCCAAAAAAATGTAAAAGAGAAATGAGCCAGGTGTTTGTCACATCTGGAAAAAGCAGCTAGGGGGTCAGTACACCCCTCCAAGAGCACACATCACTCAGTTCCTTAAAGTAAAACCAGCATCACAAGAGGGGGCATTTTTCCTATGCTCATTACTACCAGAGACTGCTTTAAACAAAACAAAACACTTTTTAACACCCCATACATCCAACATATAAGAATAAAATTATCAGCCTAGCGTTTACTATATTTTGTTTTATTTTATAAGTTGAAAGCCTGTGTGATGTGATGGAAAGGAGACTGAAAACCTGCCCCCTAGTCTCAGCTTTGGTTATTAGAAAGTCCTATGGTATGGACGAGGGCAATGTCCTCCTTTGTCTCCTCCTCAAGTTGGCCCACACCAATTTTTTCTTGCAGAACAAAGCAGAACAAAAATCATCTATGTCTTTATGAGCCAAGATTCACTGGTTCTTTCTTTAACCAGCTGACTCATCTAAACTCCTTGTCTTTGTCATCCTATGCTTCAAAAGACCTCTACATACCATTCATTGAAAGAACATTTGTTTTTTGGTGCCAAAATTTTACTTGTGTAGTCTGTACTTCTTAGAATGAAGATGACTTTCATAAAAACTGGAACACTTCAGGAAAAGACAGCTCGCCGTGGAATAGAGATGTGCAGAACAGAGAGCAGGGAAAAGGCCAATCTGTGGAGACTGTAAAAAGACCAGTTGCTACCAAGAGGGGAGGGAAGAATGAACAGGCAGAGCACGGAAGATTTTTAGGGCAGTGGAATACTCTATGTGATACTGTAATGGTGGATATGTGTCATTATACATTTGTCCAAACCCATAGAATATACACCAAGAATGAACCCTAATGTAAACTATGGTCTTTGGGTGATAATGATGTGTCCATGTAGGCTCATCAATTGCAACAAATGTACCACTTTCGTGAGAGACATTGATAATGGGGAAGGCTAAGCGTGTGTGGGGGCAGCAGATATATGGGAAATGTCTACTTTCCACTCAATTTTGCTGTGAACCTAGAACTACTCTAAAAAACGAAGTGTTTTTTTTTTTGTTTAATATTGGTTCACAAAAAAATCAAAAACAAAAACTAGATACTTTACTATTGTAAACAGAAATATGAAGACTGAGGAGTAGCTACTGGATTTGACAACAATGGTCCTTGGGTGACCTTGGCAGAAGCCATCTCAGTGGAAGCCTGATCACAGTGGCTTGAGGGAGCAGGATGTGAGGTGGTGGGTCACTAAAAGTAAAGGCAACTCTTTCGGTAATTTGGCTGTGAAGGGAAGGAAGGATGGCAGATGTCCATGACTGTGGGGTCAAGAAGGTTTTGTTGTTGTTTTGTTCTGTTTTGAAGATGAGAAAGTTGGGGGGAAAAAAAAGAAAAGAAAACAATAGTAATGTTAGACATTCCATAGATAGTAGGTAACTTTGCAATTTCACTATAAGATAATAATGATTATGATCATTTAAATCAAAAATTTACCAAACTTTGACTATTGGCCAAGCTAAACATTAGGGAAAAATGAATAAGGCTGGTCTCTACCCCAACCTTAGCAACTGCAGCTTGGACTCAGCTGATGTCTCTTGCAATTATCCCCTCACCTTCCTAGTTCTCAAGGCCCAGCCCAGAAAATGAAGGCAATCTAAGTCAGAAGTATAATGGAGTTCGGCATCAAGGACTAGATGATCTTTGAGGATCCCTTTGGCTCAGAAACATGCTAATGACTTATATCTATGATTATTTTTTAAAGAGAATCAAAGGCCTCATGGCATGTGACAGAAAACTAAAGCTGCGATTTCGCACTATACATCTTAGAGCGTTTTCAAAACTGCTCCATATCTGCATACTTCTGCCCATCATCCCTAGCCACAGCTTACAATAGCTGGACCTGTGTGAGACATTATTGCAGAATGCAAGAAGGTAGGAAATCCTCTATGCCATCCAAAGAATAGGATGGGTCATGGATATTTAAGAGCTCAAACAGTACTAGAAAGATTACCTATGAAAGATGGCCCAGGTATATAATTCACTTAGTTAATTAGAGCAAAGACTAGCAGTGTAAGGGAAATATTTCCCTTTAGCCCTATTTCAACTCACTCACCCTATTTCAACTGGTAGAAAGACCCTAGTCCCCAAGGGGAGTTTATCAGCTCTTGAAGATGCTGAGATAGTGTTCACATCTGTAGACCAAGCCTTGGGCTGCTAGGAAAATAAAGCCAGCCTTGGTGTCTGCAGAGGAGGAAGAAATTTACCTCTACCTTTCTAGATTCTTCTGGCTGAAGCCATCTATACATCATCCATTGAAAAAACATTCGTTTTTTGGTTCCAAAATTTTATTTTTGTAATCTGTACTTCTGTACAATAATTAAATTGGCATGAGATAGATTAACAGGAAAAGATCAAACAAAGTTTAATAACAAGCATATATGGGAGAAACCCAGGAAAACCAAGTAACTATCCTCAGGTGAATCCTCAGCCAAGACAAAAGAAGATGTTGGGGGTGGGGAGAGTCAGGGACCTCAAAGGAAAGGAAGCCAATCCACAGGTAGGTGAAAAGAAGCAGGCATTTGGAAAACAACTGTTTATTTGGCCACACAGAAACCGAAGAACAGAGTGGAGACTAACAAACAGGCTTTTCTAGGTTCCTCCCTGTCTACCACCTAGTTCATGTTATGCCAAGGTGATAGCTCACTTCCTGAGACAGGTTTTTTTAATCTGAATTCATGTAGGCAGTTAAGGGGGAAGAAAGAAGAATAACTTTCTGAGTCTTTTGCTTCTTAAAAAGAGTCAAGCTAAAATAACTCTCATGTTGAAGAGACACTTTTTGGGGTGGCAAATATTGTTCTCCTTTATCTCAGTCCTTTGGAAACCAGAGCTGGCAGAGTATAAAGGGAGATTATACAGCCTCCAGTGTTAACTTCATTTAGCACTTGCCTGAAAACCGAGCGTGGTTGAATGATTACAGTAGAGACAGGGGCAAAAAACAGAGATATGAGCCTGTTCCTAAAGAAAAGGAGATAATACTAACAGCTCCTATGGAAATAAATGAAGACATGTGTGATCTGTTTTTTTTGTGACATGGAGAAAAACATCTGTGCAGTAGACAGTAGGAGCCATCTTCTTGCATAATGATTTAAAAGGACCTTTTGAAGTTCTTTGTCAAAATTCTGGGCAAAAGAGATCAGGGTCCTTTATGCCCAGGATTCTCATTATTCCATCTCTGCTCCAATGTTTGATTTCCAGGACGAAGAGCAGGACACCATTGAACAGGATTCTCCAAGTAACAAAGAAGATGAAAAGGATGATGAAGAGACACATCAAAAAGGGTACAGGTTTCAACCACAGAAATAACCACACCTACCTCCTAAACAAAGTGGATTTTTTATCCTCATCTAATTTTCAACATTTATTATGATTTGTCAGAGATGGTTACCACCACCAATCCCCCCTCCCCATTACCCACCCAACACTATTTTCAGAAAATTAATGGAGCTCTAGGATAATCAACACGGTAAATTCAATTTACCGTGCTGATGTCCTGGCACCCAATATCTGGGACAGTCTTCTAATTAAAGGTGTAAATTACCAACTAATTGTTCCAGTCCATACAAAAGTAGTTAATTCATTCTTCTCAATGTCAGTCAATAAGCAATTGATTTCTCAAAACCCATCCATTTTAAATCCCAACAAACTTGCTCTTACCTTGTAGTATCCTGAAGGTGTTCCAAGTCCTTATGCTCCACTAGGTAGGAGAGGGAAATCATAATCTTTATTTTTTGGACCAGGAAAATGAAGTTCAGAGAAGGGACTTATCCAAGATTAGTCAGCTAGAGTGGAACAAAGCTAACTTATAATTCTAGCTTCTGATTCCTAGTCCAAGATGCCTGGTACTCTATCATAACAGCACAGTATTTGTCAATAGTCTAAATTCCTACTGAAATTTGATTGAAATTCCTAAGTCTCTGAGGAATTTTGTTTTTACGTGTCAGAAGATAGCTCTGGAGTCGGTCAAAATTAGGATTGAAAGCTCGTATCACAGAAATCAAGAATATTTACCACCTCAGAAACCTGAGCTCAGTTTCATCCTTCATTTGACTTTATGACTCTCTGACCCTGGGGGCTGAGAGATTCCCTTGGGTGATCAGAGGCACTCGGGTTTCATTATTGTTAGTGGGATGGAAACAACCACCAGGAGATTGGGAGTTGTTTAGCCTAGAAAACCAAATGGCCAAGCGTCTATTTCTAGCTACTTTACGTTATGCAGTGTCAGATTGCTGTAACAGACTACACACATTGCCTGCAATGAAGAAATCTGATGAATCCACCCTAAAGTAGATGGACGTGCCCTGTTAAATGTTGCCCTTCACCACTGCTACTTTTGAACACTATATCCACAACTGAGGACAATGCATCATCAGCCTTTCCTAAACTAGAACATGAAAAGCTTAGTCTTTGCTACACTTATATTCCTTCAATATTGTCTAGAACAGTGTTTCTAATTCTCAGTACACATATATTCACACACGATAATGACAAAAGTTTCGTGAAATACTACCTATCATCACTTTGTGTGATGCACTCTGAGACGTCCTCTTCCACCTTTTAATGATGGTTATCACGTGCTGTGTGACTTCATAGCCCACTAATGGGTCCAACCCACAGCTGTAAAATACTGTTCCAGAAAAGCAGTGTACACTCCCATTACATTTATCCAGTAGTTCAACAAATGCCTGTCAAGCAGCCTTAGTGTCCCAGGTGCTGGTGCTACAGGGCTCACAGACATCTATTCTCCAGGGAGTTACAGTCAGGCAAGGCTTCATAGCAAAACACAGTCAGAGAAGACAGGAGGAATGAAGTGCAGAGGATGACTGTCCCCGAGGAGATACAAGAGGGCTTCATAGAAGTGAAGGACTGAGCTGTGCCCTGAAACCTGAAAGGTGCTGAGACTGGACATGTGGGCATGACTGTTCGAAAGAAAGGAACTGGAGGCCTTAACCAAGGGGAGGGGTGCTCCCAGCTAGGGCCAGGGGCCTGTGAGATCCTGGAGATTGAGAATCTTCTATATGGGATGAGAAGTGGTTGTTTTAGAAATGCTGTCCTGTGGTCTGGAAGTGGCAATGGTTAAATGTGCGAGTAATTCCTTCCAGCCGGCCTCAAGCGGGAGAAGGAGAGGCCTCTGTTAGATGTGTCATTGAGGAAAGAGGCACCTGCAGGGAAGCCAGGTTTCAGAGCAGGTATGACAGGGACCAGGAGCATCCTGGAGAAGCAGAGGACAATCGTTGTGGGTATGGCCCTGTGGCCTCTCCACACTCACTTACTGGTGGACACCTTCCTCCCCGGAAGATGTGATCAGATACAAACATTGCCCCCAAACCACCTGTACAAATTGGTGACCCAGATGGGACCTCTGTCCCTCTGAGGCTCTATTCTTCCAATCACCAGTTTCCAATGGACAGAGAATCCGTTAATGCTATGGGAGGTTGAAGGGTGAGCCTCACAGGGAGGGACTTGCTTCTTGGTGTCAGTGCTGCCGGCTTGATGTTGCTTCCCCATCGGGAGACCCTGCAGCCACACTGAGCATTTTGCTTCGACTATCTCTTGATGGAGGTAAGTGGCGCCCACCCCATGGAACAACTATAAGAGTTATTTCTTTAAGTTGTCTCACAAAGACAGGCTGCCTGAACCTTGGGTTTAAGGCTCCCCTAGCCTTGGGTTCAACTCCCAAGATTCGCTTGTTGGATCCTGGCTTCGGGGTTCAGATCCCTGTCTGAAGGTAACCTGGCTTGGGGGCATGAGAGTCCCCATGTGGTTTGAAGGATTGCCCGACCCGGCCACTCCGGAAGAACTGATGCTCGGCTCTGGCAAATGGGAGCAATCCCTTGTGACTAGTCATTGGACAGTGAGGGCTTGAAGCCCATTTGAGTTTGTCACTGCTGGGGGCTTGAAGCCCTTTCGAGGGCCCTTTTGTGTTTTGAGCTGTGTCTGTGACGGAATGAGCTGGTCTCTCTGGAGTTAGAGTTTGAGTCTTATCTTGTATCTGTGGTAAAAGGCGGAGTTAGGTCCCTGCACTCTGGGTCTTAACTATTGAGCCATCTGTAACGAAGTGGCTGGGGGCGCCCAGGAGATTATCCTGGTATCCTTCTCTGTTTCCTTAACAAACTGGCTTCTAGGCCTCTCAGATCTCTTTATGTTCCTCAGTTTCTTTACCAGCGGTGGTTGGGGAAAACTCAATGCCCCCCTGTTCTTCTTTCCCTTGCACTTTCTGGTAGAGAAGTTCCATCCACCTCTCCTCGCCCAGATTAGACCTTCCTGGGGTCATTTAGTCTCCTTAACCATCCAGCTTCCAGAGGTCACTTTAGCTTTTGGTGGTGGAAGAAACTAGCCTCAGAACTTGAGAAGAAATCTTTGGTGAGTAACGGAACTCGTGCACCACGGTGCCAAGGTACTTGCTTTCCTAGCTGTTGGTCCCATTTTTCTTTTACTGGATATTGGATCTGTCAGGATTTTTTGTGGTTTTTGTCTTTGCACTAACCTTTTCCAACAGGACCTGCTAAAAATGATGGGCTTTATGTAAACTGATTACATCTCTTTTGCCTAATTATATTTAAATTATGCTGTGGGGATTGTGAGCACATAGAAATCCACCCTTCAGGCAATGTTAATTAAACATGTTAAAAGAGATCTCATCTTAAAATAGCCAAAATGGGGCAATTTCAGTTTACACAAACTGGTGTATTTGTGTGTGTAATCGGAGACAAAGCCGATTATAAAAAATTAAACAAGCAAAGGGAAGCCTATTTTAATTTTTGAGGCTTGTAAACCAGATCAAAAATCCTGTAATGCCTCTTCAACAAAAAATAATTAAATAAACTAACATGCTAGTCAAAGAAAACCAAATCTGCTGCTCCCCCTCCTCTTGCTGAGCTCCCCTCCTTCAGCTTCCCCCAAATTCCAGATCTGAAATTAAGCAAGTGAAAATAAGTAAACTTTTAAAATATTTTAAAACATTAATGGCCATTTTGGGGAACTTTTGTTTCAGATAAGTCCACCTTAAAAGAGAGGATTCAAAACCTCTCACAATGGAATGCATTCTTTGATTAATATAAAGAAGCTTCTAAAACATAGAATCACTTTAAAACCAGCTATAAAAAAGGATCCTTACTGCAAAAAGAAAAACAAAAATCTTAACAAAAATCTTTAGCCATCTGAACAGCTCACAATTTGGATCCATGATTAAATTTTGCACCTGACACACGTTTAAAATTTTAAAGATCTCTGTTTGTGATTGTCTACATGTCTATACATGTGTGTCTGGATGGTATAATTTCTAAAGAGACATTTATTTAATTGACTTAAAATAAGCACTTATATAAATTATTTCTAAATGTGATAAAAACTAGCCTAGGTGTCTTTCAAGTTAACATGATCTAAAATGATCTTTGGTAGATAAAAACTTGCTTAAGTTTGTTGGTTTAATTAAAATAAACATGTCCTCAGAGTTTCCAACATAGGATATAATGTAAACATGTAGCCTTCATGGGTCAAATAAACTCACGTTGTCTCTGTTACAGAATTTGTCAACAAAAATAACTTAAAATAATAGCTAATTTTGTCCGATATTTCACAAAGATTTTATAGGCAATCTGAATAATTGTTGGAAACAGGCAAACTAAATAGATATAAAAAGGTAGATGTCAAAAGGTAAAAGTTTTGGGAAGAACTTTTTAACAATAATTATGTGTTCTAATATATGTACTTATAACAACTTAAAATGATGGCTAACTGCTTTGGTGTCACATAAAGTTTTTGTGAGTAATCTAGACATGATTTTTAAAAACAAATGGTTTAAATGTGAGATGAGAGTTTATGGATAAACTTTTAATAATAATTATATTTTATAACATATGTATTTAGAGTAACTTCCAAAATCTCTTTGGTAAGTTAAAACTCTTAAGTTTTACTTGATTAAATTAAATGATAAAAATTCATTAAATATCTAGATAATTTCTAAGTAAGATAAAAATATCAGATATAGATTTATGTACTTTTGGCTTCTTATTACAAACAAACTAAAAAGATTTTACTGTGAAGTAATGTGTTTCTAAAAATTATAAAAAAGTATTTATAAATATGCCAAGCTATGTAATACTAATGTAAAAGACAATATTTTACAGAAGTAAATATTTTAAGAAGTAAGTAATTACTTACTTCTTAGTTTTCACAAACAAAATCAACATCTAGAAGGGATAAATATATGTGATTAAAACTACTAAAAGTTAATAAGGGAAACATTTTGTATTCAAGGATAGTAAAATGTATGTTTTCAGTAAAGGAGACATAAAGACTAGAGATATTTTTATTTGTTTTTCTAAAAAAGATACATTTGTCCTACAGTACTAGAAGGAAAAAAAGAGAGAAGGAAGACATGGGACAAATTCTAAATGTAAGAAGCAAGTGACAGAAGGCTTGTGAAAGTAAAACCCCTGAGAAAAGAGTTTTCTACATAGTCATGTTGAGTAAGATTAAAATAAATTCAATTAAATAAATGAGTTTTTATATCAAAAGTAAGCTAAAAATTAAAAATTTGTATATTTCTCTCATAAAAGGATAATCTTAAAGTTTTGGTCTACTCTTGACAAAGAGATTATAGAAGGCTTTTTTTCTTTATCTTTGAGTGAGTCTACTTACAAGACAGAGAGTCTATGTTTTGTTAAAATAATTTCCTAAACTCAAGGAGGCTGAAGTCTCTCTATTAGGGTTTGCTTTTTAGACTGTTTCACTCTCTCTGTGTGCCTGTGGCATTTTCTGTTTTCATCTTGATTAAATGGATAGCTAAACATTATTTCCTATTTAACCAAGTATTTTAGAAACTTTTGATTTTTTTTTGACAAATTTCCCCAAGGTTCAAATCCTACGTAAAGTCTTGCTTTTTGGGGGTTTCCAATGGGTCCATGAGACTTCTCAAAGAGTTTTTTCTCTCTTTCTATAAAGAGGGAGATATTAAACTAGTTAAGCTTATTTGACATATTAAATTACATAAGAAATATCAAGTAAATGATAACAAACCTTCTTAGGTTATATTATGTGGGTAAATGTTATTAACATAAATGGTTCTTGATACCTGTTTCATATCTCAAAGTGCTCCAGATATCTAGGAAACTCCAAAAATTGACAACAGGGCTTGATACCAGTTCTGCATAGTCAGTGGAGGTAGCCTTCAGGGTGTTTAACAACAGAGATATGACAGAAGAAATGAAAGGTGACCAAAAGATGCAGAAGCAAGCTATTCTGCTCATGGTGGCCCTCCAGTCTGCTCAAGGTAACCTGAGAGAGAAGAAGACGACACGATGGGTGAGTGACCCCAGCCCCCACCAAGGGACCAGAAGGCTGCCAATGCAATTGCAGTGTAATCAGTGTGCATACTACAGACAGGAAGGGCATTGGAAGTGGAATTGTCTGAATCAACCCCAGAGAGGGAAGCTATCAGACAAGACCAAGCCATGGCAACTTCCCATGGCTACAGATGAGATGTGATGGGGCCATGGGGCTCCGCAGTTGACTCCAGACAACCAGATCCTCATCTCCCCAGAAGAGCCCCAGGGAACCTTAGCGTGGGAGAAGGCATGTTGAATTTTTGCTCAATATGGGGCCACATTCTTGATGTTAAACACCCAAAAAGGAAACCTTTCAAAAAAGAAAATGTGATACAAAAGGAGTATCAGGTAGAGGAGAGACAAGAAGGTTTCTGGAGCCCTTGACCTGTGAAATAGGATCAAAAACACTAAGACATTCTTTTCTATATACGCCAGAATGTTCCGTTCCTCTCATTGGGAGGGGCATACTATCAAAACTACAGGCCTCGATAAACTGGGAACAAGATAAAATAGAAATCCAAGTTCCCCAAAATTAGGAGGTCGAGGTCATGGCCTTATTAGAAAACACACCAGTACCTGAAAAAGAAGAAAATCCCCAAAACATTCTAAGCTGAGTCAACTCAGATGTATGGACACAAGGACAAATGGGACAGGCAGCCAGTGCCAGATCTGTAAGGTAGACTTAAAGCAGATAGACCACTAGTCTCTGGTGAAACAATACCCCCTAAAGTCAGAAGCCATTAGAAAAATCCTTCTTGTGACTGACAAACTTTTAAAACAAGGAATAATCAGGCCATGCAGATCCCTATGTAACACTCCCATTTTACGTGTTAAAAAGCCAGATTTGTTCAAGACCTTAGGGCTGTCAACGAAATAGTCCAAGACATAATCCTGTAGCACCTAATGCTTACAGTCTGCTGGCTAATCTCCCTGGGGACAGCATGTTTTATAGCGTGCTAGATTTAAAAGATGCCTTCTTTTACATGCCATTGGATCCTGAGTCCCAAGAGATTCTTGCCTTTGAAGGGGAGGACTCAGACTCCCACCAGAAACAACAATACTGCTGGACTGTCTTAGCCCAAGAATTTAAAAACTCCCCTACAATTTTTGGGGAGATCCTGGCCCGAGATTTAAGGGAATTAAAATTAAAACAAAGCACTTTGTTAGAATACGTGGATGACATCCTAGTAGCAAGTCCTTCCAAGAAAATCTCTGATGAGACCACAGTGACCATGTTAAACTTCTTAGCCAGTAAGGAATATAAAGTGTCTAAGGGAAAAACACTGATATCCAAAGAGATTGTAAAGTATTTGGGGTTTATTATTTCAGAAGGGCAGCGTAGTGTTCCTCAAGAGAGGAAAATGGTAATATATCAACTTCTCCCTAGGCAGCTAGGTGGATTCTTGGGATGGCTGGCCTCTGGCACATGTGGATCGCTAATTTTGGATTGATTGCTAAGCGTCTCTATGACAAATTACAGAGGCCAGAAACACACCCCTTTGAATAGGATAAGCTATGCAACCAAGCTTTCAATAAGCTTAAAAACTTACTAACAGAAGCACGTGCGCTGGCCTTACCAGACCTGAGCCAACCATTTGACTTGTACATTTACAAAAGATAAGGAATAACCCTAGGAGTATTAACACAAATGTTGGGACCCTTAAAGAGAGTGATTTCCTATTTCTCAAAGCAGCTAGACACCGTGGCAAAAAGACGGCCCTCATGCTTGAGAGCTATAACTGCCACCTGCCTATTAATCAAGTATGTGAACAACTTAGAGCCACGCCTGGTGACCCACAGACTTACCTTAGACTAGTGGAAAAAAAATTCTACAACTCTATCGGCCCCTATGACAATGCCCATGCTCAGCAGGAAGTAATTACAGAAAATGGACATTTGCTCCATTCCCCTCAAGAATGAGGAGCAGGATAAAACTAGAGGAGGGATTCTGTCACCAGCCATGGACTATAACCCGCTTCTCTTGTCTTGCTTAAACTCTAACTTCTTGTTTTTGACCTAATTCTCTTGTCTTCTTGAAAGGTACAGATGTTCTTTTCTCTAACAACTTTGGGGACTTGAACTTATGCCTTTTCAGCTATGTTCCCAGATGCTCTAAGCGGAAACCAGCCTGGACCCAACCGATCTGAACCAGACCAGACCGGCCCAGACAACAACCACAAGAATGACACCTACGCAAACAGGCTGAGAGTTGTACTAAAGTAACTTGCCCTCATTAACATCATAAATTCTCCTCCTCTGGGAGGGGCAAAGCAGCCATTTTTAGATGATTCAATGCATGTAAAAGCATGATGTCAAATCACGCATGTGAAAGCTCATGCCGACCTCTACATGTGGTGATGAAACTTCCCCTTTGAATATTTATTCCCTACCCCAAATAAAGGTGCCCACCTCCCTGTGCTCAGGGAGCCATAGCTTTGTGAGTTACTCCTTATGGTCTCCATTTTCTTTGCTGCATGCCACAAAGAAAATTTCTGCTTTGTGTGACAACTACTTCTGGTGTAGATTGATTAACTCACCAAGAGGGGGACTCATGTTTGGCCCGGTCACATACACACCACACCATAACAAAATTCTGGACAGAAACAAAGACGTGCCAACAATTCTAGAACTTTCTGAGAAAGCTGTATTACAACTTACTGGTTAATAGCTCTCAAATCCACAAAATCCAACTTTAGATTACAATCACCCAGTGAAAACTGTCAGCCTTCCACTAAAAAGTATGGTGAGTGAGGACAGGAAACCACCAACTTATTCAAACTTTGTGGAACCAGAAGGCGTGAGAGTTCATTGGATTTTTATTTTTTTTTAAATGAACATTTAATAACAGTGGCTGAAAAGCTAATGGAGGCCCTTATAGTCCAGTGAGAAACACTCTCATCCTATGATTTAGTTTCAGCTGTTGGTTAGTTACCCATCTCCCCTGCTCCATTTCCAGGAGCATGTTTTCTGCATCTCTGTAATCCCTCAAGGCCTGGTATATTCAGCATTTAGCAAATCACATCCATTCAGCAAAGGTGGATACAAGCCACGGCTGATTTCAGTCTAAAATGAAATGAGTTTCCCATTTCTGTTTTGTAGGACACATACTTCATGAATTTGTTTGATTCCTTGATTTGGTGTTCACTTCTGCCTGCCTGTTTGCTTTTGTGTTATTATAGTTATCTGGAAAGGATGTATGGTATACTTCGTGATTTTTGTCGGAAACACAAAACCACCCTTCGATACATCATCTGGGGCATCTTATTAGCAGGTAAATAACAAAAGGTGATGGGATCCAAGTGTCTCTTTTCCAGGATCCCCCAAATATTAGCTTTCTGTGGAAAGAAAATAAGTCTCCCTAAACCTCACTGAATCATCCAGAGACGGAGAGAAGTCAATCGAGAAGCCCATGAGTGGGGGTCTCAGCGTGGGATGCCATGCAGATGGGTTCCCTGTCCAGTTTAGGTACCAGCAGCTAACATTTTACATCACCTGCTCCTGTGGTCTTTGTTATTGTGGTGTGGATTTGGGAGTTGGTTAATGCAAATGCAGGTAACTGAAAAACATGGTGATGATCACAAGGTAGAAACATAATTGCAGGGGGAAATATAAGCCATTAATACTTTATGCAAATACAACACAAGGAGGAGCCTAGGGTGATGTAGCCCACTCCTCTTGCCTAAAGGCAGGACCATACTGCTTTCAAAGAGGAGCAGGTCTCCAGTTTTGCTCCATCCCAAAGCAAAGGGCTCTGCAGCCCATTTTAAAGAGCACTCCTGTCTATAAAATATGAACCCTCTCACCCAAGTCCACAGACATTAGTCCAAGACCCCTGCACCCCGGGGTCAGTGGGTTTGCTGGTGCTCACACAGCAGAAACAGGGAACAGCTATAAACTTGCTGTGTGCCAGGCCGGATAGTGTCTTAGGCTTTCTGGGCCATTCAGGGAAACCACATATCTCTGCCATTATGGGACAAAAGCGAACAGTGTGGCTGTGTTCTCGTGAGACTTTATTTGTAGAGCACAAATACAAATATATAATACAGCTGTACTTGGCACCTACAAAAGCAAGTGGCAGGCCAGATTTAACCTGCAGACCATGTTTGCAGACCTTTAATAGGAAACCTTGTTGTTCTTATCCTAGAATCTCCTCTTCAAAAGCGGCCACCTTGGTAATTGCCCCCACCCCTTTCATTTTCCTGTAGAGATTCCATGGCACTTAGAGATTGTTGGTGGCCTATTTTCCTACTCAAGCTTAGGCCAAATCTGAGCTGCGAACCAAGAGAATCAATATCTTTTTGTCAGCGGTTGCTTAAAAGCCTGGCATTTCTCTGACAAAACTCACCTGCTGAGTCTGAATGTCGGAAAAAAGTGGTTCATACTAAGGGAGGGGCGCAATGATCAAGCATCAGGATTCAAGAACTCAGAATGTTCTATAAGAAAAAAAGACCTAGTGCGCTGTCCTCCTAGCATTCATGATGAGACTGTTAGGGACTTGCTTTGAAAAAAAGACAAAAACACCCAAAATATAGTACTTATAATCAGAGGAGCCAATAGCCCTATCAAGAGCACCCCTGCATTCAATGGTTCCTGATTGAATCTCCCCTTGGCTGAGCCAGATTGGTGCTGGACGCTGGTCTCCAGCTGGTGCTGATGTTCCCTGTCTGCGTTTGCTTCCTGGCAGGTTACCTGGCTATGGTGATCGCCGCGTGTGTGCTCAACTTTCACAGAGCCCTTCTTCTCTTCGTGATCACCGTGGCTGCCATCTTCTTTGTGGTCTGGGATCACTTCATGGCCAAATATGAGCCTCGAATCGAAGAGTTCCTGTCTCCAGGCAGAAGGCTTCTGGACAGCCATTGGTTCTGGCTGAAGTGGTAAATGCAGTTGGTTCTCTTACTGCGACGGGGAGGGATCTTAGTCTTTTTGAACATTCTTCCAAAAATGTGTTCTGAAATTGCTTCGTCATTTACGGTGTATTGAAGCTAGAAACAACCTAGGGAATAATCTGTTAAAATGCCTTCATTTTACAAACAGGAAATCAAGGCCTCGATAAGGTAATGACTTACTCAAGATGTGTTCAAATGTCCCTACAAACTGCCTTAATTTCAAGTGCCACTAAATGATAAAACGTTGTCCAGAGGATGGGATGTTTCTGACTTGGGGAGGTGGCTTTCTGCTCTGGGCATGAAGCTGGCCTCCTTGGGAGGAAGGGTCTGTGAATTATTAAAGCCAACCCTCTCCCAAAGGAGCCCATGTCCTGGGGGTGACCACTCAGGGCTTTTCTCGCAGCCTCTTTCTGAGGGACCTCCTCTCCTTCCAGGTGGCCCTACTGGGTCAGATCCAGGACACATTCTTCCCAGCATGGCCCACCTGGGATCTGCCAGAAAACTTCATACATCCTTGGCCTAATAAAGCAGGGTTTTGCAGTCCCAACACAGCACGCTTTCTGGCTCTGCCTCCAAGCTATGAGTCAGCCTTGTCAGGCTCACAGATTCCTCAGGGAGTCATACCGACTTTAAACATCAGCTTAGCTCTCTGAGTCCTAGGTGAGGTCCCCCAATTGCAGATAACACATTTCAAGTTCTCCCTTGAAGGGAAGAAGGTAACACCTCACCAAGCTTCCAAAACGGAGGTGAGGACTCCCCGTAGATCTCTCAAAGAAATCACCAGACTTCCCTCTCCAAACATCCTTTCTTCTCTATGACCCCTTTAAATGTTCTTGAAGGGCCCAAGAGTTGTGGGATAAGGGGGACACATTGCTTCATTTGTTGGCTATGTGACTTTATAGCCACAACAAAAGAGAGTCTGTTGCAATTTCTATGTGCATAACTTCCTGGTGCCAGGATGTGTCACTCGATATTTTTTGTTTGTTAGTTGAAGCCTGATTAAGATTTTCAAGGTAGCACTTGGATGCTACAAACGATGTCACAAATACAGCAACTGCTGCCAATGCCTCCTGTCTGGTTCTCTTAGGGTGATTTGGAGCTCACTGGTGCTGGGATTTATTCTCTGGCTGACCTTTGACACCGCCAAACTGGGCCAACAGCAGCTGGTGTCCTTCGGTGGGCTCCTAACGTATGTCATCCTGCTGTTTCTATTTTCCAAGCACCCAACCAAAGTGAGTACGAATTGATCTTTTTTGGTTTTTTATCATGTGTAAATTGCTCAAAATAATGGCTGCAAGAGAATTTAACTGTTATTCAATATTTTTCTTACCTTGCTATGATATTTTAAGTGACTAGGGTGCCCTTCTTCCTGAACTTTCATAGAACTGTTCCTGTCTCATTGTTCGTTCTAAGCAATTTTCCAGTTACACAATCAGTGAGATGGTCTCTCCTGTCAAGTCCACCTTCTACTCGTGTCCCCCATCTCTCCCCATCAAACACACATTCAAAGAAAACTCATCTGTTTTGATCCAGATTTCCTCAGACCAGTAAATAATCTAATATTCTACCATTGCATTCTGCAGTTTATCAAATTTCTATTTGAAATTCAGGCTATTTTACTCCAAAAATTTGTCCTTAAACAGTTTTGTTCCTATTGAGTTCTATTCTCCTCCTTGTTCCGTCAGTCGGTAACCCATTACATGGGCAAGAATTCCGAGACATTGATTGTCCACATATGACTCATAATGGCAAATCCTGGAAGACTTTACTGGCTTAAAGATTGGCCCCTCAAAAAAAAGCATTAGTCAGAGACCAAAGTCACCTAATATGACCCAAATTCTTTGCCCTCTGAACATCTCCGCTGTTTTCTATGCCTCCAATCCCATAGTTCTTTGCAGGACCCTCTTCTCTGCACCAAAAATGAAAGCACATGATTGTCCATTACTCTGCAATCCCTGGGTCTGCATTAGAGCAACTGGTTCCTTTTACAGTGAAACGAGAGCCCCTCCACAGGGTAGAATTTCTTTCACTTAACTCACTCACAAATTGTCAGATCAACAAACCTAGGACACACAGAGAAGTCATGTTCTGCCTCTCCATCTTCTAGACAGGGGAAATAGTTATATGTATCAGATATTTACAGCATGACTAGCAAGGCTAGATCCTTCTTCCCTAATGGCCCTGCTGAGACTACTCTTTGGGTCTAAGTTGTGTTATCATGACATAATGATTACATACTCCCCTGAGACTGAAGTCTTCACACTCAGGTTTAGAAAGAGGGAATACAACCCTGAGATTTTGGGTATGGTTCTATCAAGAGATTGTCAGCTCATGACTGCTTTGGCCTCTCGAAGAAGGTGGGTCACAGGCCGCATGGGAGAAGCTTCCAAGGAAATAGTGATCCTCTGGGCATTTATGCTGAGTTCAGCATTCATTTTCTAACAACGTATATCTCTCTTCATCTTTCTATATAGGTTAACTGGAGGCCTGTCTTTTGGGGAATTGGGTTACAGTTTCTTCTTGGGCTCTTAATACTAAAGACCAACCCTGGATTTATGGCTTTTCAGTGGTTGGCAGAACAAGTTAAGGTAAGTTGGGTCCAAAAGAACGTCTTACATTTTTTTTGGTGAGGAAGATTGGCCCTGAACTAACATCTGTGCCAATCTTCCTCTATCTTGTATATGGGTCACCATCCCAGCATGGCTTGATAAGTGGGATCTGGACTCACGGATCCCGGGATGCTGAAGTAGAGTGCATGAACTAAACCTCTACGCCACTAGGCTGGGCCCAAGAATGTCTTAACCTTTATAGTTTTTTACTTTTTTTCTAAATTTATTTTTTCACTGAGGACAATTCACCCTGAGCTAACATCTGCTGCCAGTCATCCTCTTTTTGTATGTGAGCTGCCACCACAGCATGGCACTGACAGATGAGTGACATGTGTCCATGACCAGGAACCGAACCCAGAGCGCTGGAGCAGAGTGCACAGAACTTAACCACTAGGCCACCAAGGCTGGCCCCTATAGTGCTTTTAACATTTGGATATAATCCTCAAGACAGGTCAGAATTAGGTTTATTTGTCTACATCAGTTGACTCTAATTTTAATTTTTATATCATGAAGTAGACAAATAATTTTATGTAGAAAATGTTAATCTGTCCAGTTTATTAATTTTATTGTTGCCGCTCATCCATACCATCCACTACATCACTCCCCTTTCCCTGTTGCCCCCTTCATCCTGCCCAAGGGGTGTGACACTTCTAAGATGGTTACACAAAACAGAAAAACAGGCTTTCTTTGCATCTAGTGGTAACCAGTGCCAGCCATGTGCCACCGATGGCTTCCGGAGCAAATTATCACACCCAGCTTATTCGTAGCACCCTAGAGTTGGATTGAATGTTAGAAACGCCAGGAAATGTGTGTGCAGTTATAGCTTAAAAATACACTTCCATGCCATCCACCGGAGGGAGAAAAGCTGAGAAAATTAACTCCCCAAGGCTATGCACCCAGTTTGCTGGGTCCTCACCCCCTGCCGAGCCTGGTGGGTCCTGGGGACTGTAGCGTGGCCTCAGTGGTTGTGACGACCTGCTGTTGCCCTTTCTCTCACTCAGACCTTCTTGGAGTACACGGATGCTGGGGCTGCATTTGTCTTTGGGGAGAACTACGCAGACCACTTCTTTGTATTTAAGGTAAAGCCAGACCCCTTTTCTACGGAGCCACTTCCTGTTCAGGAACTGCTCAGTCTCTGTGGATGCTCAGATAGAAGCTGACTACCGGAACCCAGGCGTGTACTGCTGGGCTCGCCCCAGGCGCACAGCACATCACTGTCCTTTCTCACGTGCAGTTTTATCTCAAGTCAGTGCATTGCAAACATTTTACTTTGTTACTGTAGCATTAAGGGAAACATCTAGAGGAGTCAGAAATATTCAAATACTTTTGGAGGCTGTAGCATTGTCTGAGATACTTATGAAAAATCATAAGGGGAAATAGTACCTGAGATTTGAGAGAAAAGATGGATAGGTACCTGGCGATGAATAGGCATATGGCCACTGATGGCTTCCAGGTCCAGGATCAGTGACAACTCTGTGCTCAGAAAACTCTCAGTCCCAGGCCAACCAGGACACTGGTCACTCACATCACCCTCTGTTCTTCCAGAACCATCCTCATGCTAAACCATTCCCATCTTTCCTTCAGCACAGCCTTTGCCTAGGCAGGCCTGGAGGCTGGGCCTTCTCCTAACCAAGGAGGGATGTTATTTTACAGGGGAAAGGCAACATGGTCCCATGCCTGGGCCTTATTGATTCCCTCCTGGTGCTCCCACAAGCACCAGGAAGCTCACTCTCCTCTGGGAAGTCCCCACAGATACCTGTCGATAAGTCAGACAGATGCATTTGGCTTTTCTTCAGTTTTCCTTTTTGTGGCATATTATTGTTCCTACACTTCTAAATTGTTTTCTCAGTTAGGGAGATTTACCTCCATATTACCTTAGTTTCAGTTAGGCCAAGTGTTAGGCTTAATATTTTTTTAAACTGCCGATTTGATGCTTTGGTGCTGAGATAACTAAGCCATCTCTGAAAGGTCAGGTGTTTACAAATTGAGATGGAAATATGCTCATATCATGAATTGAATCCAGAATTGGAAAAAATAAAGTCATAAAGAAGGCATAACTTGCTGCCCAGACTGCACCTGTGTCTTCAGACCACCCCTCCAGCTCTCCCCAGGGCAGTAGCCTCCATCCTTTCCCCCAAAACAGAATCCCTGTGGGAACATTCAAGAAATGAGCCCCTTTAACTCCCTGAAGCTTTCAGGAAGGCTCTGCCCGCCCATTAAAGCCAATAAAAGCACATTAAGTGAGTGAGCTCTGAATAATGGCACAAAATGTCTTTTAATATATATTATTAATAGATTTTTCTAAATGGGATCCTGCACAAATTGTCCTCGGTCATTTCTGTGCCTCTGGTGGCAGCTTGTTCCTGGCCATTTCTCTGGGGAACAGAGGGGAAGGGGTGTGCGGGGCAGGGGTAGGGAGGGACTGAGATTGCAGCTCTGTGTGGTCTCTGCAGGGTAGAAACTGCTCCCTGTACACACACAGGCTGCATTGAAGGCACCAAAGAGCATTAGGAAGATAGGATCTAGGAAAAGACAACCTTTGTCAACACAGAAGCAAACTAGCTTCCAAAGTTTAATCTTTTCTTACTGATTCAAAAGTCTATAAGTAAATAATTGTCATTCTAAAACCTAGGAGTGAAGGCTTACTCTGTGGGAGGCAGTGTGTGTAAGGACCGACCACGCTCTATCTGATCTGTGGAGCCGCTGGAATAAGGATCTGAGGTTGCTCGCACTTAATCCTGACCCAGGTCACTGTGCTAATAAGTGGTGAAGCTCTTGTCTGTTTAACATCAGAACAGCAAGAACATCTGCAGTGGCCTTCAGTTTGTTGAGCCTAATTATTACAAATTCCCCCAAAACTTTATTCCTTCTCGGAGACACTAAAGGCGGAAAAGCTCATTATAGCAGAGGGAAAAAAATGTCAAGTTTCCTATGAAACATATTCAAGCTTATCAAGAGCAAATTAGAACAAGAGACTGCAGAGGGGGCAGCTGCCTGATGAAAGTGTGGTGTAGCTCCAGAGGAGCTTCCAGTGTTGTTATGACGTTTCAGAGGGAAAAGGAGGTGGAAAGGAGGAGACCCATGTGAAACCTGCCAATACTCCTGAGGCCGACGTCAGCCCATAATTGCTTTCCTCCCCCCCTCCAGTACCTGCCAATTGTGGTTTTCTTCCACACCGTCGTGTCCATGCTCTTCTACCTCGGATGGATGCAGTGGATCATTAGAAAGGTACGGGACTGGGAGGGGTTGGGTGACAGGTGTAGAGCTCATTATTCCAGGGACAAAGTCCTAAGGCACCTTTTATTTAGGTTTTCCAAAGTGCCTTTCTCTTTGTATCGAGATACACCCCCCACCCACGCCAAGTTATTGGATTCAAACCCAAAAATCTTATATGTGTTCCTAGAGGGAATTTTAGCTCAGGGACTTCTAACAAGGCTTTAACTTGCAACCCACTGGATATCTTCATGAAACCTTAGCAATTACTTCTTTAGCCAAAGAATTGCCTCCAACAGGTGCGAGACCAGCTGGGGAAAAGAGCACTGTTCCTTCATCTTGGCGACCCACCTGGTGCCTTATGCAGAGTCACTGCTTATCCTCAGGAGGTTACAAAAGGGGGCACTCTGGTCTAGAGCTGCTAGGGAGTCAAAGCAAGAAGGGGAAGCTGCTTTTTGCTCCTGAGGGAATTTTATAAGTGCACAATATTTTAAAAAATTTCTAAAAAGTCAATCTCATTCCTGCTGCCCCAGCAACTTTCAGTCTACACTTATAGGTTAGATCAGAAGGCTATGAAATTTGTAAGCTAGTTTGAATACACACGAGAGCAAGGCAGAGCACACAGGGTTTGGGCACAGCCTCAGGCCTCCTTTGAGCCCTGTAAATAAATAAAATGGAGAGAGAGAGAGAGAACCAGAAGACCGGCAGAATTCAGAATTTCAGCAAGAGCACCAGGGTCATAATTTTCCGATTGCCAATTTAAACATTCAGAATTACTGTGCTCGTGTCTAAGGAGAAAGAATGCAGGATGGCACTAGGAAGTCCCATCCTGAGGTGAGCACCACAGTCTCTGGTTGGAAGGGCCACTGGGGAAGTGGGACCATAACCCATGTTCGTTTGAGTGTTAAATAGAAAAAGCCAAACGTCAACTACATCCTACTACTTATTAGCTGGGTGATTTTTGACAAAACAACGCAACTTTTCTGTGCCTCAGGTTCTTCCTCTATCAAATGGGCATAATTATAGAACCTCTCTAAAAGAGTTCTTGTGGGATTAAATGCATGACTCAGATCAAGGGCTCAAAACAGTGCCTGGAATGCAGTAAAGCCTGCCGTGACTATTAGCAATTATTATAACTGGTTACTTGTACACAAGTGTACATTTCAATAGAAACTCACTTGTATAATGTTGAAAATATGTACAGTGACTCAGACTTACCACTCAAATAGGAGGATTTGATTGGCCTGCTCTATGGACTAGGTAAGGTGTACTCACAGTTAGCACCATTACTGGCCTGTCAACTATTGTTAAAGGCCTCAGCACTTTCCTCCAAAGATTTTTATCCCTACCTTGAAGTTTGTGTATACAAATAGCTCTTCACTGACTTTGTCCCTTGTCCCTTTTAGGTTGGATGGGTCATGCTGGTTATTATTGGATCATCTCCTATTGAATCTGTAGTTGCTGCTGGCAATATATTCCTCTCATATGTAAGTTATATCAAAAAACAAAACAAAACAAAACACCTGCTGAAATGGACACTGTTTCCAGAAAGTGGAATAAAAAATATGATGGTTTTATTTCTTTTAGTGTAGAAGGAAGAGCATCAAAATAAGGACCCCTCAGTACTGACAAAGTCCAGATTCCAGAGAGAGAGAAAAAGAGAGTGAGAGAGAGAGATCCCTTCCAAGAGTCTCAGTGCACTGATGTGGCATTTGGGTTCTTGAAATTTTATGAAGACGAAGAAAGATTGAATCATTGTGTCAAAGCATCAGACTTCTCACGTATAGATTCTCAATGAATCTTTTCTGAATTTATTGACTTGCTGAGGTCTCTGGCCCGCCCTTCAGAGGCTAGCAGCTTGTTCCCTCAGATGGAGTTCAGCACTTGTCTTGAGCCTGAAAACATGTAGCAGGCAGCCTCACATGCTGTAGTTTAATGCTGTGGCAGTGAAAGAGACCAGCCAAGGCTTCCCACCAATAGCTGCGCAGCTGTATAAATACTTGAGTTCATTCTTAACTTGTCTGAACTGGTCAACGGTCTGTTTGTGTTGAGTCTAAAGAACAATGCTGATGAGAAAAAACAATTTCATCACCTGATCCATCACATGGTTAAATGCTCTTTTCCCTGAAGTCCATTTAAGCAAAGAAATATGATGTAAAATGGGTGTCTATCAAAACAGCAGCATTCCCTAGGGGTAGATAAGTAAGAAATAGTAATAATCATCCTCGTCAGTCTGGATGTGCAGCTTCAGGCAGAATGGAATCACATAGCAACGAAACCAAGTGTGAATGCTTGCTAGCATGGCTAGCAGGGCTACCCAAGGTAATTGGATTTGAAGCAAAAATATAGTCACCTAGAGAAACACATGACCCCCAATCCAGGCTTACAACTGCTCCAGGCAGGCTGAGCCTTCTTATGGGTCAGCCCAGCTTGCTAACCTGGAGCATAGTCTTTACAGCAGGGCCCATGCTTCCTTCCCTAGGAGTTGAAATTATTATAATTATAGTCATAAAATCTCTCAGGACTAATTAGGGCACCATCTTGAGTTGATTACTCCTCCCTGCGGGGTAAGAGGGTTCATGCATTGAATTTCTATTCACTCCGTAAATTGAAACTCAACACATTCAATGTTACAGAACAGTTAGAAATAATGAGGAGAAAATTGTAAAATTGCACACATGCTCAATTTGATACCTAATATACTAAAAGCACAGCTATTATTTATGAAGAGCCCCACGCTGCAGGCTACCTGCCCTCCTTGGTGGGACTCAAGCCTTTACAACTACACTCTGATTCCTTTCCACCCAAGCGGAAGAAGGGGGTCTCTGATTTTCAATTTGAAAAAGGCTTCTGGGCACCTCTCCTTGTTATTATTTTATGCTTGTGTCTCTATTTCCCTGTGGTGTCAGCAAAGAGTTTTAAGGTCTGTCGAGATGAAGCTGTAAGATGGGAAGTCACAGAGGCTTGGGAATCACCAGTTCTCAAGGCCAGGCCACTGGGCAGAGTTACTTGGCCAGTGGTGTTTCAACCTTAGAAAAGTGTCCCCAGCCATCAGAGTCTAGTCCTAGGCTAGGTGGGGGCCTTATGTGGATTGGCCTTGCAAACTCTGCAAACATTACATATGAGTCTGTATGCACACTGACCTAGAGTTCAAATGACCCAGACTTCTAGGGTGTAGGTTCTCAAACTGGAGCATGCATCAGAACCACCTGGAAGGCTTGTTAAAACAGGATTGCCGGCCCCACCCCCAGAGTTTGATTCAGTAAGCCTGAGAATTTGCATGTCTAAGGAGTTCCCAGGTGATGCTGATGGTGCGGGTCTGAGGTCCACTCTTAGAAATACTGCTTTAGAGAATGGAATTTTGAGCAGATTGGCATACCCTCCTAAAATTTCAAAAGGAACACTTAATCTGGTCACTCTTTGTTTGCAGACGGTGGCTCCACTGCTGGTCCAACCGTATTTACAAGACACCACCAGGTCTGAACTCCATGCAATCATGACTGCTGGGTTCTCTACCATTGCTGGATATGTCTTCAGCCTATACAGTTTTTATGGGGTGAGAATGTTTGGGGATCAATTAATGGAAAATACAACCTCTTCTTTCTTTGCTATTGTCATTTTTTTCTTTTTCTTTACCATTGCTGCTCCAGATCTGCTCCATTGGATAAGGAGACCAAAAGAGTGTCTTTTTTGCTATATCATTGGTCACAGTTCCTTTGGCATTTGGATGGAGTGTTCACTTTTATATCCCTGCCACCTAAATGTGAATCATATCCCACCATACCAGAATGAAATCATATTATGAGATTACTTGGCTGAAAATATAAAAATGTTAAAAAAAAAACAAAACCTATTACACTAGTGAAGGCAGTCTAAACCAGAGGTCAGCAAACTATGGCCCATGGGCCAATTCTAGATCACTCCTCTTCTCTTGTAACTGAAATTATGCTGGAAATCAGCTACTCTTATTTGTTTTTCTATGGCAGCCTTCATGCTACAGAGTTGAGTAGTTGTGGCCCGAAAAGCCAAAAATGTTTATACTCTGGCCTTTTACAGAAAAAGTTTTCTGACCCCTGGCCTAGAGAATTGCTCCTCAAACCTTACTGCACATTAGAATCACCTGGGAGCTTTTAAAAGCCTGAATACCCAGGCCCAAACCCCAGAGTAATCAAAACAGAATCTCTTGGGATGAGACCTAGCATCAATATTGTTTTAAAACCCCTCAGATTCCAATGTGCAGCCAAGTTTGAGAGCTGGTGGTCTATAGCAGAGGGATGGAGAGTCTTGTGCTAACTGGTGCATGTGCCCCCAGCACAGAGCTGACAAGCCACACATAGACACAAGCCCCATGGGAGAAATGGAATAACACAGCAGCTGTGTGACCCAGGGGACTGGGCATTCTTACAGGATAGGTGAGTTTCACTCCAGGTCTTCATCTGGGCCTCGGAAGCCCATCAGCAGGAAGAGGGAAGAGGAAAAGGGCAGAGGAGGCCTCAGGAATAGCAGTGTGATTGGATCCTGGATGATCCACTCTGCCACCACAGTGGGAATGCTGCCTGTGAAAATGTGCTGGGGGGATGGGAGTGGGGAGGGTGCTGATTCCGGAATTCTGAAAAGATAGGGAAGAGAATCCAGAAATGAGGGTGTGGGGAGGGAAGGGGAAAGAGTTTCAGTAGACGTGCAGTGAGGAAAACAGAAATGGCTTACAGATTAAAGGGACTCTGGATAAAGAAGTATTACGTAAATGCACAAACATCCAGAACAGCAAAAGGAAGACAGAGAGGAGTGTGTCTGTGCCTGCACCCCAGACATCTCCTATCTACATTGATGATGAATGAAATATGGGCTTTAGGGACTATTTGAACATTCAAAAGAGAGGTGGAAGAATCCTCTTTGAAGGTTCCTACAGCACAGGACTGATTCTCTTCTGAAATGATCAGACTTGGGTTTTGTGCTTCTCCCCAAGGATGTGGTCAATTCACACAGATTCCCCCCTCCTCCCTCTGACTCTCACAGTAATGCCGACTTGGCTCGTTGAGCTCTTCTAAGCCTCCAAAGAAACATTGTTTTCTGGCATAGACACAATTCCTGCCCTTCTCTTCCCTTGTGAGGCTTTTGGGCCATGCATTCTGAACACAACAGAAAAGCTAATCCTAAATTGGCCTTCTTTCTCCTAAAATCGCAGATTTCATCCACCCACTTGTTAACTGCTTCACTTATGTCAGCACCCGCGTCATTGGCTGCGGCTAAACTCTTTTGGCCTGAGACAGAAACACCTAAAATAACCGTGGAGAATGCCATGAAAATGGAAATTGGGTGAGTGAGATACATTCACCTAGTTAATGACTATACAAGCTGGGGCGGGGGGGCAGGGATGGGGTCCAAATTCAAAGTACAGCAAAAAATTGGCAAAGAGAGCACAGTGGATTATGGTATTAAAGTGAACTTAATTTCCCAGTGACTATTAGACTTCACCCAAATAAATCTTGTTCAACCCTTGAAAATCTCTTTTATTTCATTGAAGTATAGCTGACATACAATATTAGTTTCAAGTGTGCAACATAGTGATTCGACGTTTATATACGTTATGAAATGATGACCACGGCAAGTCTAGTAACCCTCTGTCACCATAAAGTTATTACCATATTATTGACTATATTCCTTATGCTGTATACTACATCCTCATGACTTATTTATTTTAAAAATGGAAGTTTGTACGATTTAATCCCCTTCACCTATTTCTATACCCCTCTCCTCTCTAGTGACTATCACTTTGTTCTCCATATCTGTGAGTTGTTTCTGTTTTGCTATATTTATTCATTTGTTTTTGAGATCCCACATATAAGTGAAATCATACAGTATTTGTCTTTCTATGTCTGACTTATTTCACTTAGCATAATATCCTCTAGGTCCATCCATGTTGTCACAAATGGCAAGATTTCCGTTTTGGAATCTTTGGAATGGCAGAATAATGTTCCATTGTATGTATATACACCACATCTTCCTTATCTGTTCATTTATCAATGGGCACTTGGCTATTGTAACTAATGCTGCAATGAACATGGGGGTGCATATATCTTTTTGAATTTGTGTTTTCATTTTCTTTGAATGAACACCCAGAAGCAGAATAGCTGGATTGTATGGCAGTTCTATTTTTAATTTTTTGAGGAATATCCATACTATTTTCCATAGTGGCTGCACCAATTTACATTCCCAGGAACAGTGTATGAGAGTTTCATTTTCTTCACATCCTCACAAACACTTACTTCTTGTCTTTTTGATAATAGCCATTCTCACAGGTGATAACTCATTGTAGTTTTGATTTGCATTTCCCTGACATTAGTGATGTTGAGCATCTTTTCACTGTCTGTTCACCATCTGTATGTCTTTGGAAAAATGTCTATTCATGTCCGCTGCCCATTTTTTAATTGGATTTTTTGTTTGTATTCTATTAAGTTGTATGAGTTCTTTACATATTTTGGATGTTAACCCCTTATTGTATATATCATTTGCAAATATCTTCTCCCATTCAGTAGATTGCCTTTTCTTTTTGTTGATGGTTTTCTTCACTGTGCAAAAGCTTTTTAGTTTGATGTAATTCCATTTATTTATTTTTGCTTTTGTTGCCTTTGCCTGAGGAGATAGATGCCTAAAAATATTGCTAAGACCAATGTCTAAGAGCTGACTGCCTATGTTTTCTTCTAGGAGTTTACGGTTTCAGGTATCACATTCAAGTCTTTAATCCATTTTAAATTTATTTTTGTATATGGTGTAAGAAAATGTCTTCATTTCATTCTTTTGCATGTAGCTGTCTAGTTTTCCCAACACCATTTGTTGAAGAGATTGTCTTTTTCCCATTGTATATTCTTGCCTCCTTTCTCATAGGTTAACTGACCATATAAGCAGAGGTTTATTTCTGGGCTCTCTATTCTGTTCCATTGATCTCTGTGTCTGTTTTTGTGCCAGTACCATGTTGTTTTGATCACTACAGATTTGTAGTACAGTTTGAAATCAGGGAGTGTGATGCCTCCAGCTTTGTTCCTCTTTCTCAAGACTGCTTTGGCTGAAAACCTTTCTAAATACCTGAATGTCATTACATTTCCTTGACTTCAATGTAGATATTTTATTTTAAATATAGTATAGTCTTCATTTAGCCTTGATTTAAGACTGTTGCAAAACCATAGGACAACCATTTCTGGAAATGTCTTATATAATAGGGAAAGAAGCTGTGATATAGGTATCCTTAACCCGTCTTCAGTTCATTTTCTTTTGCCCTGTGCAAAAGAAAGAAAAAAAAGGTGGAAAAGACTAAGGGATTTAGCATGTTCAAAAGTATTTAATTAAATAACAGAATCCATCAACCAACATGTTTCTGAGATTCATCTCTTGTTTGTCTGGAGGTAAAGTCATAACCATGAATGAAAACGCAAGTTGTCAAAGAATATATATATATGAAATACGTGTGATTCCACTTATAAAGTTAGCAAATGTGCAAACCTACACAACATATTATTTATGGATGCAGACATATAGGGAAATTGGAAAGAAAAGAAATGATAAGCAACTTAGGGAGCCAGGTACCTCTGAGATGAGAGAGAAGAGGATGAGATTAAGGAAGGACACAGGGCGGGGGACTCAGAGGTAAGGGTGACATTCCATTTCTTAGGTGACGGATATTCAGGCCTTCCTTGAATTATTAATTCTTATACCATGAATATTTTATAAATATTCTCTGATAGGTACCATTACATATAATTTTTGAAAGCTATAGTATTTGTATGTTTTACTAATTTTTAATTACAAATGTCCCCAAATTCAAAGAGTAGTATAACAGACACCCGTATGCCCTTCACCCACACTCAGCAATTATCAACTCTGTCATGATTTCATGGAATTCAGGTGAGTATCTTGACCAAGGCATGGACCTCTTTCTACAAATGAGCTCTGTTCATGCCATTTCTTCACCTGTGATGTCCATCCACTGACAACTCCTTGGTAATTCTGCCATTGCTATTTTTTGATAAAGAGATTCGAGGAATCTCCTAGAAGCTGCATCACAGGGAGCATCCTCATCCATCTCCCTGGTGGCACGCATCGCTGTGAGTCTGATTACCTTCCTGGCCCTGTTGTCTTTTGTGGATGCAGCCCTGTCCTGGTTTGGAAACATGTTTGACTACCCACAACTGAGTTTCGAGGTATATTTCTATCATGATTCTCTTCCATTTTGTTTCTGCCTATCTTTGTTTAAAAATAAAATGGGTTTGTGAATTGCCTTCCCTAACTGCCTGTAGTGCACTCTGACACAATGCACAAACTTATCATATATCCCCCATCTTCCCACCCTCTTTCTCTGTCTCCTGTCACCCTCCTTCCCCCAACATACAATCATTCTTTCCATCCTGAGAATCCAGGTGACTTCACATGACCCAATTCCAACCTTGACTCCTAATGGATAAAGATGGACAAGGCATGTGAAGGGATTTCTGTGCCTACACGAGACACAGAGGGGGTGGGAACAATCTTATCATGAGGGTGACAGAAGAATGGGAGCAAATCACTACTCTAATAAAGTGTCTATTTTTGTTTTTTGTAGATAATATGCTCCTACATCTTCATGCCCTTTTCCTTCATGATGGGAGTGGACTGGCAAGACAGCTTCATGGTTGCCAAACTCATAGGTTATAAAACATTCTTTGCTTCATTTCTGTCCTATGAGCGCCTCTCAGAATTGGTGTATTTAAGGGAAGAGGCTGGACCCAAATTTGTGAATGGTGTGCAGCAGTATATGTCAGTGAGTAAATATTTTGATTTTTCAGTGTACTTCTTTATCACATACATACACTCATCAAATAGTTACTGGTGCCTCTGTGTGTCAGGCCAGGCATTTGGGATATATCAAAGAACAAAACAGACCCCAAATCCCAGAGCTCATGGAGCTCATAATGAACATAGCACCTCATAATTTTCAGTGATGTTGACTTAATCCTTGTCTGTGGGTGTGTGTGTGGAGAAGCACAGCTAATCCTTACCACTGTGATCACTTACTGTTGAGCATTGTGGATCCAAACCCAGAGTCATAGGAACTAGAATCAATCCATCAACAAACATTTATGAATGTCTTCTGTGTGCAATGTACCTAGGTACTGAGGCCACAGCACTGAATAAGTGATGAGGCCTCTGCCCTCATGGGGCTGATAGTCTAATGATCCTGAATGTCCCTTCCTTTCAGCTTAAGGAATCCTATGAACTCTGAGAAACTGCCTAAATGCAACATAGTGCCTTGACATCCTAAAGAAGTAGTGAGATACAATCGCTGCTCTCCAAGTAGATGAGGGAAGAGAAGAAACTCAGGGTCTCTGGTCTGAACCTTTGAGACAAGCACCCCATACTATGTCAGGACTTCAGGTCAATAGCCTGCAAGGAGATGCTCATGTCTACTTGGCCTTGAATGGGATAAGGGAACTCAAGAGAGGCTATTATTTAGGCCATATTTGCAGCTGAGACTCCAGCGTCTAATTTCCTACAGAACAGAATTGTCACACATGGAAACTCTTAGGGAAATGGTGAACATTTCTGACTGCCACCATTACCCATGGAAACAATCCATTTGGAATTAATGTCTTAGGCACATATTGGGCTTTAAAGGGAAAGGGGAGGGGAAGCATGCTGCCCAGGCTCCTAGTTGAGACTGCCCACCTCTGAACAGCCCACCACTCTCCCAGCCTCCCAACATGCAAATTTACTCCCACATATGCACAGAATAACAGCATACTCCAGGAGAGTGCTGATTTGTACATTATCATCAGGGGTATTTGACCCACACCTCTGATATTAACAGTGGCTCTGTAGGTCTCCTGTTCCTCCAATGTTCGTTCTTCAGCTGACGACACAGTGGGACTTGGCCTAATGTCCTCATTGTCTGGATGCCTCCACAAACCAGGTGGCTTCCCTGCCAAAAGGAAACAATAGGCTAAATTAAGTGAGATGTTTTTCATCCCCAACTGCCAGTTGCCAGGAGAAAATAGTTTTGTTAATGAGCAAAGCAAGCTCACAGTTCTGGCAGTGCTGAGCAGGTTTGTGAGCAGGTTATTAAGAGGATAGAGACAGGACAGTAGCGCTGAGTCGGGTTGGGGGCGAGCCCAACCAGGGGCAGGAGCTCAGAGGACATTTAGGAATATGAGCTCAACGGCTTCTGTTATTCCTGAGTCATGATGGGAAAAACATTTTGTTTTTTCCCAATTTCTTATTTGTAATTAACAAAATAGGGATGAGTCCCTGCAATTTCTGTTACCAAGCAAGAAGTGGTGGGGGTGTCCCAACAGTCTCCTGGAAAAGGTACCACATGACTGTAGTGTAAGATCTGGGTCCATGAGGCAAAAACCGCGTGTTATCCATTGAATTATGCCCACTGCTGACATCCATCTAAGGTAGGAGGTCAGAAGGTGTATGTTGCACTTTATTACTCCAGTTGCTCTTTCTTAGAGAAAAGATACTTTGCATGTTTGTTTCTTTGTTTACATGTAATACATTTCACGGTACAGAATTCAAAAGGTACAAAAAGGAGTAGAGGGAAAAGTGAGTCATCCTCTTTACTTCTCTGCCACTCAGCTCCTCTCCCTGTACCATATTATGCTCACTGTTCTTAGCCTTGCTCCTTGCACTTGATAAGATATCTTGAATGCCTTTCTGTACCAGCGCCTGTGACATAGTATTCTATTGTACGAGCACACCATAATTTATTTTAACTAGTTGCTTATTGATGATCACTCTTACCAGTTTTTTGCTAATAGAAGTACTACAATGCCTGTCCTTGTACATATGGCATCTTTGTTCATGGGCAAGGAGAGCTGTAGGATGTATTATTAATTTCCTAGTGCAGTTCTTTCTGTCACGTAATCTTGCACATTTAGGGACAAAGACAAAGGGGATGGTCCCAGCCTCCTTTTCCTCTTATTGTAAAACCCTGCGTGGCCACATCTGTGTCCCTCCTTTGCAGATCCCCAGAAAGGAGAAAAAGGAGTCTCAAGCACTTTATGCCATATCCCTCCCCATGGTCTCTTAATAAGCTTGCCTAGTTTTTTTGTTGCTTTTTTTGTGTGTGAGGAGATCAGCCCTGTGCTAACATCTGCCAATCCTCCTCTTTTTTTGCTGAGGAAGACTGGCCCTGGGCTAACATCCGTGCCCATCTTCCTCCACTTTATATGGGACGCCGCCACAGCATGGCTTGCCAAGCAGTGCGTCGGTGCACGCCCGGGATCCGAACTGGGGAACCCTGGGACGCCGCAGCGGAGCGCACGCACTTAACCGCTTGCGCAACCAGGCCAGCACCTAAGCTTGCTTGTTTTTGAAGCCAATAGAACTAAACGAGAAGCAGGGGATGAGGATGAGATTTTCCAGAAACAGTGGACTGCTCAAATACGTGAAACATTTTTTCCCTGCCTGCTGTGCACACGCTGAATGAAAACATCAACAAAGGAGCTCTCAGAAACCATGAAAAGAAGAGGGGCCTTATCAACAAAAACTTACCAGGACCACTTGAGTCTTGACTGTGAGCTTTAAAAAATCCAATTAGTGAAAGAAAAGGCAGCGCCAGTTTTGAATGTAGCATTGGCCTGGTTTGTTCTTTGAACAAAATCATAGATTTTTCAGGATTTGGGGGGAAAAAGATTACTGCCTCAATTGTGTGGGTGCCTTTGCCACATTGGGTGTGCCTCTGGTGAACAATGAAGTGCACTGGATCTTCCAAGCCTCCTGTAGTCAGTCCCTCAACCTGAAAAAGAACTATCTGGCCTGAGCAGCACCTCTTGAGTTCAGAGGCGGGGGGTCACACTCACACTTCGACGAATTCATCTTCCGTCTTCTCTTGGCCCAGTGAGAGCACAGTCCATTCTCCCGCTTCCATGCGGGCACCTAATATTCCTATGGGAGGGTCAGAGCTGAGGAACAAAGAAAGGCAAACACAAACCATGGCCAGAGTGAAAGGGCTCCTGTGGTATCTGTGAGCTTCCTTTTTACTAATGTAATTCCTTTTACATTATATCGTTTTTACTGAAGTATAATTTACATGCAAAAAAGGCCCATTTTTGGTGTACATGTAAGTTTTGACAAATGTGTCACCCTGGGTAACCACGACCACAATCAAGATATAGAACATTTCCATCACACCTAGAAAATCTTCCTCATGGCCAGTTGTAGTCAACAGCCCCCCACCCCCACCCTGACCCACTCCCAGGAACCCAACGATCTTTCTTTCATGATAGATTACTTTTGCTTCTTCTAGAATTTCGTATGAATGGACGCACTTAACATTCATGTTGTTGCATGTGGTAGTAATCCATTTTATGGAAATCCAAAATTTGTTTATCCATTTGCCTGTTAAAGGACATTTGGATTGTTTCCAACTTGGGACTATTATGAATAAAGCTGCTATAAATATTCATGTACAGTCCTCTTGTGGGCATATGTGTTTTTATTTCTCCTGGGAAAATTCCTAGGAGTGGGATTGCTGGCTGCTACAGGCAGTGGATGTTAACTTGATAAGAAACTGTCAAGTATGTTTGTATTTTACCAACAGGCTTTGTCAGTTTACATTCTCACCAACAATGTACAAGAGTTCTAGTTGCTCCACGTCCTCACCCACACTTAGTGTTGTCCACGTTTTTAGCCACTTTACTGGATGTGTAGTGGTATCTCATTGTGTTAACTTGCATTTCCCTGGTGACTAACACTGTCGATCATCTTCTCATGTGCTTATGGGCCATTTGTGTGTCTTCTGTGAAATCTCTTTATTCATTTATTAGGTGCTTGTCTTATTATTATTGAGTTATAACAGTTCTTTATAAATTCAGAATAAGTCCTTTGTCAACTAAATGTGAATATTTTCTGGGACCAATTTTGTGTCTTCAGCAGCTGGTCCTGTGCCTGGCACATTATAGCAGGGGCCCAGGTCACGCTGACTATTAAAATTATCATTGAGCAGAAAGTAACATTTGTAGACACCAAGACTACCAATTCCAAGTCCTTTGTAGAGAGTCTCTGAATCCACACAATCCCTTTCTCTCCATTGAAATTCAAGGGGAGATGGAAACAAGAGTCTAGGAAGCAACAGGTGTTCGACACCAGGCACTGTATGCTTATGTGTCAGTATTGATCCCGTAGCCAGAATAGGAAGCCCGGTTAGGATGTCAGATTTACTAAGCTGGGTCACACCATGTATTCATCCATGTGTTTATGCTTATTTACAGATTCGTTCTGAGACAATTGCCACTTATGCTCTCTGTGACTTTGCCAATGTCCTTTCCCTAGGAATAGCGATCAGTGTACTCAGTAAGTGAAAAGAATATTCTTCTTCAACAATAGATGTGGTGTAAACATGCTTTAAATCTCCATGTTGCTCTGTGACATTATTCATGTCAGGAAAAGAAGGCCCTGCAAAAGCAGGAAATCCTTTGGGATCTATTTTTTATCCCTGCTCTGCAGTATAGTTTCCCTATGTAACATCAGGAAGAATTTGCCCAAATTTACTGGTGCTTCTCTAGCCAGGGATGACACATAGGTTCCACTTTGCATGCCAGTTCCAATAGATTTATAATGGCCACCTGGAGAAGGATTCTGAGGTCCAATGGAAGTGGGAAAATGCTGTGATTAGTTGGTGATGTCTGCCATGGGCACAGAAGTGGATGGTGACAGGTGAGTTGCAGATGTTTGGGATCTTTCCTTGAGATGCATTTGCCTTGCCCATCCCTCAACATGCTGTGTGAGCCCTTTGGATGAAACTTAGGACTTGTTTCTTCTGCAAAGAATGGAAGCCTCTGGGCCTCTTGTTGTGGACAAACTTCTTTTCGTCACACACCAGAGAACTTCTCTGGATGTGGAACTCATCACTAAGCTCTTCAATCTTGAATTTCCCAGCTAAGTTTTAAGAAAAGGAAAAGTCAGCTGATCTGAGACTCCAGCCCCAGAACAATTCTCAGAGGCTGGGAATTTGGAATCTAATCAATAAGTCTCCACATTAACCTCTCATACTTGCTTCCATGTTTCCCAGCATCCATGGCTCCTTCCAGAAAGCGTGACATCGCCTCAGCAGCAGTGAGAGCTCTAATTGCAGGGACCATCGCCAGCTTCATGACAGCCTGCATCGCAGGTACTGCTTCCGGTCTTTGTGTCCTGTCTCCCTGTGCCCGCAGCTTTCAGGGGGGCAGTGCCTCCAACCCGCATATGCAGCATATGCTGTGCGGACAGCTGAGAGGCAGAGCGCTGTTAAACACATTGTGGAGTGAAATGTGTGGAGCGTGGTGGAGAAGCTAAGAACAGAAGGAGAGTTCAGTGACTTCGTTAATTAATAAAATCAATGGCGCTCTGTTCCACTTCTAGGCATACTCTCCAGCACCTCTGTAGACACCAACTGCCATCACATTTTAGAGAACGCCTTCCGCTCCGGCTCACCTAAAAACACAACTGATGTAGTGTCTTGTTGCCAGAGTCTATTGAGCAGGTATTGTATTCTTGATTATAACTTCTTTCTATCCATTATTAATTAAAAATTAGACCTAAAGACCCCTTCCATTTATTTTTATAACTTCGTAACTCTTACTTTATTTAAATATAAGAACCTATGTGGCAATTCTAACCACCTTTCATTTTGACTTTTCCCAGGTAAGGCTAGGATCCATAACTGTCTAGTGTCACTCAAGCATTTCATATGCCTCTGTTATGTATTAGGCACTTGGTATGAATTAACTCACTTACATCTTACAAACATTGTGTAAGTTAGGCACTATTGCTTTTTTAAGCATTGTATTTAAGCAGAATTAAGCACATTGCATTTAAGCACAATTAAGATAGAAAACCCAAGAAAATTTGGGTCTTTCCACCCACAGAGCCCATGCCCTTAACTAGTAATGTACTATTCTAGTACTAGTTACTAGGTGCTGCCTCCCTTTCAAGGGAGGATCAAGCAATGAAGGCTGTCCCGACAACATGGTGATGGTGATGGGCTATGGTAGATGAGGGGCTGCCAGTGACCCATGCCAGCCACCCCTACCCTGTACAGTTTCTATTTGCAAAATCACTATCCCCACTCCATCTGCCCTTCTTAATGTGCAAGTGTTGTATACCGATTAATTCTATCCTTTCTTTGTTTATTCTGGAGGAAATAGGGGGAGTCCTTGAGGCCAAACAGGATTTGAGAGTCCAAACCAATTCTTGGTGCCTCTGTCCTTAACCCACCCTAACCTGAACTTGATGGGGGATATGAGCTCCAAGTCCTATTATGTTTTTAATGTGTCATCTTCTGCTCATCTACTCTTTCTATCTTCTATGGCTGAGCTAACTGTTTCATTCTACTTACTACCAGCACTGTTGCCATGGGTCCCGGGGAGGTCATCCCAGGAGAGGACCACAGCCTGTATTCTTTGAAGAATTGCTGCGACTTGTTGATTTCATCAACACTGAACTGCAGTTGGATCCCTAGTCCATTTTGAGTTCAGCCACTTCTCCAACAGAACTCTAAGAACAGATAATGAACTTTCTGTTTTGTGGAGAAAAAGAAAAGTGATTCTCCACAGATTGATACTTCCATCATGGAATCAGCTTTAACTGGAAAGAAGAAAAACAGGAGTGAACCCTTCAGATCTAGAGCATCTTCCTCCTCTCCTCAGCCCCTTCCCTGCTGGGAACTACTATGGTGTCCCAAAGTGAGTTGGTGTCTCCAGTCCCAAAAATGTTTTCTGACTTTAGTATTTCAGGACATTTAACCAGAACACAGGTATAAATGATGGCTCATAACAATGGGGCTGTGACTCAGCTGTACCCACTTAGTGTGATTCTCTAAGTAGCCCAGAATGACTCATTTCAAAAACATCTCAGGTGAGGTATCTTTGTGTTCACCCTGGCTGACCTGAAATAGCCTAAACTTGAATCTCACATGGAGGAGGACCAATCACATATCACCCACTCATTCCCTGCCCTGAGGAAGTCCTGCAGAAGTCAGGAGTCCTTCAGGCGGGTGCCTAGACCATTCCAAAGCTAGGTTTTAAGTCCTGTGTGCTTAGAGTTATACCAGTCAGCATAAGCTGAGCTATGCTGCAGTAACAAATAATTCAAAAACCTTGGTGGCTTACAAGTTTATTTTTCACTAATATTATGTGTTTACTGAGGGCCAATTTTGGCTATACTCCATGTTGTCTTCATGTCCAGGATGCAGGTTACAGGACCAGTCCTGATGTGGGGCACATTGGTCTTATGGGAGAAGGAAAAGAAAGGTGGGGCCACATGATGGCTCTTAAAACTTCCCCTTGCAAGTGACACCCTTCACTTCCACTACACTCTGTTAGCCAAAGCTAGTCATGTGACAAGCATGAGTCAATGGCCATAGATGATTTATGTTGTCAGAGGGACAGTGAATGTTTTGAAGAAATAATATGATATACCACATGGAAACATAATATCCATATCTCCCTTCAAGAAGTCAGCCTGTTATAGGGCATAACTGTAAGCCTATTCATGTGCAAATTTGGTTATGTTCCTGGTGACAAGACTGGAAAATGGTGCAACTCCTTAGTCAAAAAGTCACATAAAGACCATTTGAAGAATAGAAATAAGTCCTGGTTGAGATCTGAAAACTTTCCATTGATACTTCCAGAGGAGCATCAGCATCAAACTTCCTTGATGGATATCAAACGAGGACCTGAATGGGTTCTGAGACTTAATGTGTCTCAGAAAAAAATTCTAGAAACAATGGTGGGGTGCTCTTTAATGAAATGCTCATCATCAATACCCTTAAAAGCATAAAGACCAGATTTTGTGAGAAAACACAAACAGTAATGACTGGATTAAGAGGTGATTCACACAAAAGAAAGCAAGTGAAAAAGGTTTTGGAATACCTTAAGTAATTTATATGTTTTCCTTTTTGTTCAGACAGGAGAGTAATTTTTTAAATCCATGTGTAAATAGTAGATTTTTGTTGTTGTTGTTGACAACGATGGTGGTGGTTTGAAGGAGGGAGCTAAATGCCCAAAGGACTCTTTATCTCTGAAGTACAATATACTAGGATATTTCTAATTATTGATCATTTGTTTCAAATTTTTCTTTGAACTCAGTGTGTCCCTTCAGTATTTAGACTTTATTTTAGGAAAATATATTTACATGTCTTTTCCATCTGTTTTTAGTATTCTGGTGTCAGCCTTAATAAAAGCCTATGGCTTAGTGTGTCAGGGATGCCAATTATTCATATGTTGGTTCTCCTTTGTCTGCTATTGCTATTATTTTTCTAACTCTTTTTTCTCCTTTTAACTCTACAGTTTCTATTCTGTTTTATTCCTAATCACTTTCTGGGAGAATCTCTTTGCTGTTTCTAGTGTGCCTCTCTGGCCAACTAATTTTCAAATTCTGTCTGTTGCTATCACTATTCCTTGGATGTTTGTAGCTCTTCTCTGACTTCTTTTGTTTTTATTTCGAGGAAAACTTAATTATGGCCCTTTTTTTTTTTTTACTATTGTCTTCTTTTTCATCAAAAAGTAATATCCATTTGTAATAAAAAGTGATGATATTATACACACACACACATATCTTTCTCCTTACCCTGTTTACCCCAGATCTCTTTCTAGTACCACACACCCCTGAGATTATTATTATTAATTAGCATATGCACCTTTCTCCAAACTTATATAAGAATATTGGGAATTTTTTCTTTCTACAAAAATAGAATGAGCCCCTTTACATATCACCTTCAACTTCTTTTCATTTGGCAATACACTTTGGAAATTCCTATAAGTCCTTATATATTCTTCTAGCTCTATCCTTCTCTTCCTGTTAGTGTGTGTGTGTGTGTGTGTACAATTCTACATAAATGAGATACTATACATGCTGGAGATGGGAAGGAGTTAGACATTTTATTTTCTTTCTACCTGCTTCCCTCCTCTTCTCTCCTGCCCCTGGCCCACCACACACAGGTAACCTAGGTTAAATAACTTCATGTTTTTTAACATCATTGTAATTTTTTTCTGTACTTTTTCATGTTCAAGTCATATTTTACAAACATATCCACGTATTGATGATTGGGATGGTAGTTTTACAATACAGATCTTCCTCGACTTATAATGGGGTTACATGCTGATAAACTCATTGTAAGTTGAAAATATTATAAGTCAAAAATGCATTTAATACACCTAACCTACCAAAAGTTATCACAACCCAGCCTACCTTAAATGTGCTCAGAGCACTTACATTAGCCTACAGTTAGGAAAAATCATGTAACACAAAGCCTATTTTATAATAAAGTGTTGAATATCTCATGTAATTTGTTGAATACTGTACTGAAAGTGAAAAACAGAAC